TCACTCGCTCTCTCAGGAGTTCTTGGGGGAACTACAGGAGAAGGTTGCGGCCTTAGGTGTGCGCAACCTGCCACTGATCGTCGGGGGGGATTTCAATTTAATCCGTTCGGGAGCGGACAAGAACAATGGGATCATTAACTGGACAAGGGTGTCCATGTTTAATAACGCGATCGCGTCTATGGCCCTTAGGGAAGTGGCCCGCGTGGGCGCTCGATACACTTGGACAAACAAGTAGTTGACACCAGTTCGGTCAGTGCTTGACCGAGTGTTCATGTCCGCGGAGTGGCAAATGCTGTTTCCCATGTGCTCTCTACACGCTGAAACGAGGATCGGGTCGGATCACGTCCCTCTAATCCTCTCCTCGGGGGAGGATAGGTTAAAACGAAGCCCCCGGTTTTTCTTTGAGACTGCATGGTTTGAGCACCCGGATTTCGAGCAACTCTTCCTCTCCAAATGGGAGACTTGTGTTGCACGGATCGGGTACATGCGTGGGCCCATGGAATTCTGGATTGCCGCAGGGGCGGGGATGCGTGCGGCTCTAAAAGGCTGGGGGGCCAACCAGGGTCGTGAGGATAAGTTGCTCCGTGCGCGTTTGGTCGCGGACCTCGCCCGTATGGATGCAGCTGCGGACTCTCAGGTCTTCTCGGAGAAAGACTGGGCCCAGCGCTACGCCGTTGAGGCCCAAGTAGAGGCTCTCTTACGGGCTGAGGAGGAGTATTGGCGTAGGCGCGGAGGAATCAAGTGGACGCTCAAGGGGGACGCGAACACACAATATTTCCACGCCTATGCTAACGGCCGGCATCGTAAATGCGCCATCCTAAGACTGCAATCTGAGCAGGGGCTCCTTTTGCGTCAATAGGATATTGTTTGACATATTTACGACTTTTACATTCAGTTGATGGGCACCAAGGAGGAGGCCCGGGCTCGGCTGCGGTCGGATGTTTGGGACCCCGCGCTGCGGGTCTCGGTCGAGGAGAATGAAGGCTTGTGCCTCGCCTTCCTTCCCCAGGAGATCGACCAGGCCGTCCTTGGGATGCGCTCTAACACCACTCCGGGTCCGGATGGGTGGCCGGTGGCGATGTTCAAAAGGTTTTGGCAAGTGCTCAAGGGACCTATTTTCGAAGTTTGTAACGGGTTTATGCGTGGTACAGTAGACATCTCCCGCCTTAACTTTGGGGTTCTCTCTCTTATTCCCAAAGTCCAGGGCGCGGACAACATTAGACTCTTCCGCCCTATAGCACTTATCAATGTCCCGTTTAAGATTTGTTCTAAAGCTTGTTCTACGCGCTTATCTCCGGTTGCTCATCGTATTATTAGTAGGAATCAGTCGGCTTTTATTCGTGGTCGCAACATTTTGGAGGGACCGCTGGCCCTCCAAGAAATCGTTCACTCGCTCAAACACTCTCGCCAGCCGGCGATTCTTTTAAAATTAGATTTTGAGAAGGCGTATGATCGAGTGAACTGGGAGTTCCTCCGACAAACCCTTTTGGATCGAGGATTTTCGTCGGTTTGGGTCCACCGTATTGATGCAATTGGTCTCGGGAGGCCAAACGGCGATCGCGATCAATGGAGAAGTAGGGAACTTCTTCCGCAACAAACATGGGTTGCGTCAAGGGGACCCAGCCTCACCGTTGCTTTTCAACTTTGTGGCGGATGCCCTGGGCGCCATGCTAGACAAAGCTCGCGCAGCTGGCCACATTAGGGGAGTGGTCGGTAACCTGATCCCAGGAGGCGTGTCACACTTGTAGTATGCGGATGACACTCTTCTCCTTTTTGAACCGGACGCCCACAATATCGCCACGGTTAAGGCCATCTTGCTGTGTTTTGAACTCATGTCCGGGCTAAAAATTAACTTCCAAAAGTGTGAAGTGGTGTCCATAGGGATGGACGGGGCCGAAAGTGAACGGGTTGCCAACTTGCTTAATTGCAAACTTGGGAAGTTTCCGTTTACCTACCTCGGCCTCCCAATCGCAAAGAAGAAATGCACGATTGCCGATTGGGAGCCTCTCACCACTAAGGTGGCGGACCGGGTATGTCCGTGGAGAGGTCGATTTATGTCTTTAGGGGCAAGACTAATCCTTTCCAACTCCAGCCTCTCATCCCCACCTATGTTTGCCATGGGTATGTTCTTGTTGGCTGATGGGGTCCACACGAAAATGGACACCCCGCGGGCACATTTCTTTTGGGAAGGAGCGGACCCTAAACGGAAATACCACATGGTTAAGTGGCATGTTGTTTGCAGACCTAAAGCCCAGGGGGGCCTCGGGATCATCAACTCTAAGTTGATGAACATAGCGCTTATGTGTAAGTGGATCTGGATGTTGTCCCAGGGAGGGACCGGCCTCTGGATTGACCTCCTTCGTGCCAAGTATTTCCCACAAGGGAATTTCTTTGAGGCAACACCGCAGGGGTCCCCATTCTGGACCTCCATCCAAGCCCTCAAACCATACTTCGCCAGGGGTGCGAGGTTCACGGTTAATAACGGCCGCTCCATGCGTCTTTGGCACGACGTTTGGACAGGCCAGCAGCCCCTTTGGTCGGAGTTCACCCATCTTTACTCCATTGCGGTTGAGCCCAACCAATTGGTTGCTTCGGCCCTTAGTGCCACTCCGCGCCCAATACACTTCAAAAGGGAGCTTGCGGGACAGGAGCTGGCAGATTGGGATCGCCTCCGGGCTCTGTTAGCAAATGTGCATCTGTCGGAGTCCGCAGACGTGGTCTCCTGGAGACTTTCGGGTTCTGGCAAGTTCACTGTCAAGTCCCTATATCGTGAGTTATGTCGCGGCCATGCGCCTATGGCAGCCACGGGGCTTTGGAAGGCGCGAATCCCACTAAAGATTAAGGTCTTCCTATGGCAACGATGCCAAGATCGCCTTCCTACCTCTATCAATATAGCTAAGCGCAATGGCCCCACTTCCGGTCCTTGCGCTTTGTGTGCTGTCGCGGAAGATGCTGACCACGCATTCTTCCGATGTCCTTTGGCGCGCTTTGCTTGGAGTGCGGTCCGTGAGGCCGCTGGGATGGATTGGGATCCACGCTCACGCTCTGAGCTTGTGTCTCTTTTATCCTCGATCCAGGGATCTCTTCGCCGGATCATGTGGACGTGCGCCTCGGCCATGTTATGGGCCTTATGGAACATTCGTAACAAGCTTACTATTGAGGGAGTGTTTCCCTCTCACCCCGCTGATGTTATATTCAAATGCATCTTATTCTTGCAGCAGTGGGCGCCGCTGGGAAGGCAACAGGACTCTGATCTACACCGACAAGCTATCGCTCGACTTCGCTTCGTCTACTCCGCGTCTCGAGCTCCGTCTCCTCCGTCTGCTGCCTCATAGGGATGGGCAGTCCTTTTGGTGTTGTTTCCCCCCGAGCCTGCGCGCTCGTAAGTTTGGCTGGTTAAGCCATGTACTGCTCTTTATATCGCCGTCGTGACCTTTGTGGCATGCCTTAGAACTTGGTGACCTCCGTCTGTTTGGATGTTTCGTTTATGTACGCTGCCTATGTTGAGGGCTTTATTAATTTAAAGCCGGACGTCCCTGACGTCTATGTTCTAAAAAAAATGACCGGCAGGGTTTTGTTTAAACATTGTGGTCGAGAAACTAGTTGTGCAGCTCATGAGCTAGCTAAATTTTGCTTTACTAATAATAATTCTTGTAACTGGGTTGATGATCCTTCTGTTTTTCTAGTTGACAAGCTGGTAACAATGTAAGATTGTAAGTGTAGTTTAAATTTTATGGGTTAATAATTCTTGTAACTGGGTTGATGATCCCTCGCCGCCGGCGCGTAGAGGGGCCGACGAGGGATGATGGACTTCCCTGCCGGCGTTTCGGCGGCTACGTGCGCCTCCACGGTGCAGCTCCGTACAGATCCAGCCAACTGTTGGTTCGAAGTGGTGTGACTGCTGACGAAAATGTTGATTTCGGTTAGGGTGATGGCGGTGTCGCAGGCGTCGTTTCCTTGTCGAAGGCATCGTCGTCACCTAGCTCCGGCTGCTCCTGGGGAAACCCTAGATCTGGGACTCCTAGATCAGATGGTGGCAGTGCCTTCAGTGTCGTCCTCCCTCATGGTGCATCATTGCTGGCTGGAGGGAAGAGGTGGAGCAGTGTTGCATCTACCGTATCGACGCAGCGGGTCTCGGCGGAATGGCGTGGTGGAGTCTCAGCGATGGATGCATGTTGATGGGCGCACGCAAGATGGTGGTGCTGTTTGACATCATGCTGACGTCGACGACAATTGGGCCTACAAGGTCAATGTGTTGGTCCCTCCCGAGGATAGGACGACGGAAGATGTCGGCAGTGGACTCCAGAGTGTGGGCATGTGGTGTACCCTAATGGTCTGCTAGACCAGTTAGTGCTCTCGGCTTACCATGAAACGGCTTGGTGAGGCCATCAGATTAGATGGTGTGTGTTGGTGTGAGGTTAGGTCACACTATCAAACTTGTAGGTGTAGTGACAGACATCTCCGTGAAGATGGCTTTAGGTTGATCTACGTATTTGTTTTGTCAGATTTTATTGATAAAGATGGTTGTGTGCATTCTTGGACGCGGGTTTCGACCTTTTTTCTTTCTTGAAAAGGTCGCTCTTTGAGGGCAGTGCCCACCGGCGCATCTCGTTTCAAGGCGGGGGTTCCGGCAAGTTGCCCTCGTTTCCTCTCATGCCCGGGCTCGGTGGACCGGCGTCATCTCGAATGCAGAGTGCAGAACAACCAACACGACCGGCGCCCCACTCTCTTAGGATTACACGATTTACTACGTGTATTGTAGTGCTACAACAACTGCGTCGGCGTGCCTCCAACGTGCAACAAACTGTGTTTGAACCCACGATACAACCGCGTGCGCCGCCAGAGAAGAGGCGGACGCATGCGACATACTACAACAACCCAGATCTCGATCGAGTTCTTACACCGGCGTCGCCGGAAGCGGCAAACCTGCTACATGTAACCGCCCGGCTCCGGCCTGGCTGATCGAGCAATGGCTTCAACGGCGAGGCAGAATCCTGCAACTAGGGGCACTTGGGGTGTCCCTCCTTGGTCTTCCAGTCGTTGTAGCAGGCGCACTCGTCCTTGTGGCCGTAGAAGCCCGACGGCACGCACAGGCAGGTGTTGCAGCACTTGTTGCAGAAGAAGAGGCACGGCTTCCTGTACTTGGTGTCGCTGCACCGGTACTCGCACGCCGGCTTGCACTCTGCAGTTCATGCGCCGCAACATCAACAACTAGTCCAACTCACATTACATTTCGTTTCATCTCAGGCGAAAACAGCAGATTCAGATTCACATATGAGCAGGAAGAGCAACTCACGGTATATCTTGAGAGTGCCCTGTCCTCCCTGAAGAAAGAATTCGGAAAGGAGAAGAAAAACACACGATCAGCAACAGATCTATCCCCAAAATCTCTTTTAAAACGTGCAACAGAAAGCCGTGGAAGCATATACCTTGCTCACTCGGTACACATTATCCTCATGCTCTTCAGTCCCTGACGCAAACACCTGATCACAAAATATGCCATGTAAGCATCCCAAGCAAGACGAACAGTTTGGCTTCTCGTCGTGCATACCGCCCGGCGGGTGGATCACCAGAGATCTCACCTTGTGTTCGGCGATGATGGAGACGGCAAGAAGCGCGACGGCGAGGAGGACGAGCAGCCTACCAGCCAGGGCCATTTTGCTGAAGCGTGCTGGGCTGCCAAAAGAGAAGACGCTGGCCAGTGAAGTGTAGTGAAGCAGCGGCTTCTGGGCTGGGCAGAGTGAAATGGATCTGAGGACGTATTTATAGGCAATAGGTGTTGATTCAAGAAGTTTTGAACATTTTATACCGTGAAAACGAGCTAAAGCTGGACGGAAAAGCCAAGTATTGCAGAGCCCAACATGCGTCAAAAGCAATGCATCGACATATGCTAGATACTCATGCCATGTTCATCCCATCTACAGTATTAAACCTTTTTTGCTGCATATGAGGCCGGACAGATTCGATCTTGCTTAATCTTCTCTCTCTCTCTCTCTCTCTCTCCCACTTGCATGGTGGATTACTAATCTGATCAGAGTATAAGGCTAGACTAGGAATAGTGCTAGCTGCGCAACACACGCAATGCGATGCATGCCGACGGCTCTGGCATTGACGGAATTTGCCGTCCAGTCCCGGGCACAGATCCGGGCGTTCTCTGACCCCAGAATTTTCTATGATTTTCGCGCCTCAGATCGGCGCAGAATCATATTCTAGCTAATTAGGCCTAGAGCCCCATACGGATTACGGAGGGCGGCGCTGAAATGCCGGTGCTTTGGGGCGTCGCCTAGCTGCGTGCATGAGTGCGTGCACGTTACACTACACAGCTTGGCGCGCCCGCATGTGCCCCTTCACGTGGGGAGCCTGCCCGGAAACGCTAGCAAAAGTCGCGAGTGAGACGAGCTCTCGTGGTAGAATTTGTAAGAGCATCTCCAGCCGTTTCAGGAGGGCTAAAAATCGTGACCCACCGGTGCTAACCCGCACGCTGGGGGCGTGATGCCCCCCAGTCGTGGCGTCCATTTTTTTGAAAAAGTTGAATGCCGCGCAAATACGACTTAAATTTAACGCAAACATTGACGAGTTCGTTTAAATTTAAACATATTTTACAAACAAAAAAACTAATAGGGGCTGCCCCTCGCCGTCTCCATCGCCGCTCCTCGCCGTCTGCCTCGCCGCTCCCCGCCGCCCGCCGCCCGCCCTTGCAGTTCTACATGCCGAGGAGGCTGTAGAACCGCGTGTAGTCGCCTCCGCCGCCGTCCCTGCTGCATCCCTCCCCCCGTTGGCGCGGCGGGTTGGACGGCTCGGGGGCATCCTCCTCATCGTCGCTGTCGAGGATCACGACGCCGTGCTCGTCCTCGCGCCCACGCTTGCGGGCTTCGATCTCCTCCAGGGCCCGACGCTGCCGGACCATCTCGTCGCGGAGGTAGTCGTCCCGCGCTCACTGCAGGGCGTCCTCGTCGGAGAAGCTGCGACGGGCTATCTCCTCATACTCCGCGGGGAGGTCGGGCTCCGGCTTGGGCTCGACGAGGACGAAACGGTCGGATGGGGGGTGGAGTCGCTGATGCGGACGCCGGAGCTGCGGGTGCGCGCGCTGACAGGCGTGTCCTGGGGCTCCGGCTTGACGGGGCGGAGGCAGGGAGAGCCCGACGAGCGGCCGGACGAGGAGGAGGACGCGCCGGGCCGCTCCATGCGCCTCGGCGTCCAGGAGCTCCCACGGCGGCGTGAGAAGGACGGGGGAGCTGGGTACTCGAGGCGCGGTGTGTTGCTGCCCTCGATGTACTCGAGGACGGCCTCCAACGTTCGGCCGGACACGCCCCACCACCGGCGCCGGCCCTCGGAGTTGAGCCTGCCGGAGGCACGACGCCGTTCGTCGCCTCGAGCTGCTCGGCGTGGCGGCGGCGGAAGTAGGGCTCCCAGAGCGGGCTGTCAGGGGTGTACCGCGGGCCTTCCCTCGCCGCCCGCGGCAGGGATGCGCGGATACGTGCGATCTCCGCATGCCGCCCCGCCCCGGTGAGTGGTGGTGGCACCGGCACGCCGCCGGCGCTGATCCTTCACGCCCCGGGCATCCGCATGTCCGGCGGGGCCGGGTACTCGGCCTCGAAAAGGAGGCGAACCTCGTCCTCGTGGAGATGGCGGCGCCCGAAGCCATTCTCCGCCGCGCCGTCGCCTGGGAAGCGCTCGGCCATCCTTCTGAACTGGAGACGGCGAGAGGAGGAAGGGGGAGAAATGGGCGCGTCGGCGGTGGAGTGTCTGTACGTGTCTCCGGCGCGCTGGTGGTCGGCTTATATAGGCGGAGGCGCGGCGTGGTAGGCTTGGCCGGTGCGTTACGCGTGGTGGGAGGCGTGGCGGGCGAGGGGACGCCCGTCGCCCGGCCTTCACTGCGCCGCCCGTGAGGCATCAATGGAGGCTGACCGGCGCGGCAGCGCGCGCAGCTTTGGCATTGATTCGCCGCGGGAAACAAGGCGATGAGGACGACGAAGCGGCGAGAAGAGAGTCGAGTCGCTGACGCGGCTGGCACACGGCGCTTTCGCGCCAAAAAATATTTGCCCGGCGCTCCCGAGTGCCCCCCAGCGCGCCGGGTTCGGGTTGGGTCCGCCGGCGCCAATTTCGGCCTGAGCCGGCGAAAAATGGACCCCTGGGGGCGCGACTGGGCCGATTTTTTGGCGCCGCGGCCGGAAAAACGCCTGGGGGGCCTTGTTTGGGGCGCGGCTGGAGATGCTCTAACGATATCTCCTAGGCACACCCTCAAACAGCCAGCTCCCGGCCATCATACTCCTAAAACTAGGTTTCGAGAAAGCGTATGACCGCGTGAGCTGGAATTTTTTGCGTCAGGTCCTACTTAGCTGAGGTTTCTCAGCTGTGTGGGTATACCGAGTCATGCAACTGGTCACGGGTGGCCAGACTGCGATCTCGGTTAACGGGGAGATTGGGAGTTTCTTCCGGAATAGGCAGGGATTGCATCAGGGCGACCCCATGTCACCGCTCTTGTTCAATTTTGTGGTTGACTCCCTTGCGGCTATGCTTCATAACGGGACCACGGCTGGCCACATCAAGGGAGTGGTCGGCCACCTTATCCCAGGGGGTATTTCGCACTTACAGTACGCAGACGACACCATGCTACTGTTTCATCCGGACGCTCACAGTATTGCAATGGTGAAAGCTGTGCTGCTGAGATTTGAGCTCATGTCCGGGCTCAAAATCAACTTTCACAAATGTGAAATGCTGTCTATGGGGATAGATAGCAAGGAGGGGCAGGGTTCTGACCTTCTCAACTATAAAGTGGGAAAGTTCCCCTGTACGTATTTAGGCTTACCTCTAGCGCCACGCAGAGTGACGATAGATGAGTGGGCTCCGTTAACTGGGAAAGCGGGGAAGAAAGTGAGCTCTTGGCGTGGTAAGTTCATGTCTTCCGCGGCAAGGCTTGTCCTCACCAACTCTAGCCTTTCCTCGCTGCCTATGTTCGCTATGGGCTTGTTCCTGTTGGCTGAAGGGGTTCATGCCAAGTTGGACACGTCGCGTGCTCGTTTCTTTTGGGAAGGAACGGGTCTAAAGCGCAAATACCACATGGTCAAATGGGCGGCGGTCTGCAGGCCCAAGTCCTTGGGAGGGCTGGGCATCATTAATACTAGGCTACAGAATATAGCGCTAATGTGTAAATGGATCTGGAAGTTATCGCAAGGGGCGACGGGCCTATGGGCTGACATCCTTCGCGCCAAGTACTTCCCAACTGGGAATTTCTTTGAAGGGGAAGCAAGGGGCTCCCCTTTTTGGCAAGATCTGCAGGCCATCCGACCCGCTTTTGACCAAGGGCCCCAGTTTAACATTGGTAATGGTCGCTCCACCCGATTCTGGTTGGATTTCTGGGTGGGCGCCCGACCACTCTGGGAAGAGTTCCCAGAGCTGTACGCCTTAGCGGTGCGGCCTAAAAAAAGGTGGCTGAGGCTCTGGCTGCCCCACAGGCCGTAGCTGAAAGATCGTGGATGTCGCCTAGAGGGGGGGGGGTGGGGGGTGAATAGGCGCTTTAAAATAATTACGGTTTAGGCTTGAACAAATGCAGAATAAACCTAGCGGTTAATTTGTCAAGCACAAAACCTAAAACAACTAGGCTCACCTATGTGCACCAACAACTTATGCTAAGCAAGATAAGCAACTATGAGATAGCAAGATATATGACAAAGAACAATATGGCTATCACCAAGTAAAGTGCATAAGTAAAGGGCTCGGGTAAGAGATAACCGAGGCACGCGGAGACGACGATGTATCCCAAAGTTCACACCCTTGCGGATGCTAATCTCCGTCTGGAGCGGTTTGGAGGCACAATGCTCCCCAAGAAGCCACTAGGGCCACCGTAATCTCCTCACGCCCTCGCACAATGCAAGATGTCGTGATTCCACTAAGGGACCCTTGAGGGTGGTCACCGAACCCGTACAAATGGCAACCCTTGGGGGCGGTCACCGAACCCGTACACTTTGGCAACCCTTGGGGGCGGTCACCGAAACCCGTCAAATTGCTCGGGGCGATCTCCACAACCTAATTGGAGACCCCGATGCTTGCCCGGAGCTTTACACCACAATGATTGAGCTCCGAACACCACCAACCGTCTAGGGCGCCAAGGCACCCAAGAGGAACAAGCTCTAGGGTACCCAAACACCCAAGAGTAATAAGCTTCTCAAACTTCACTTCCACGTATCACCGAGGAGAACTCAAACCGATGCACCAAATGCAATGGCAAGGGCACACAGAGTGCCCAGGTCCTCTCCCAAATCCCACCAAAGCAACTAATGCTAGGGAGGAAAATGAGAGGAAGAACGAAAGAAGAACACGAAGAACTCCAAGATCTAGATCCAAGGAGTTCCCCTCACATAGAGGAGAAAGTGATTGGTGGAAATGTGGATCTAGATCTCCTCTCTCTTTTCCCTCAAAAACTAGCAAGAATCCATGGAGGGATTGAGAGTTAGCAAGCTCGAAGAAGGTCAACAATGGGGGAAGAACACGAGCTCAAAGGATAAGACTCAATGGGGAAGAAGACCCCCTTTTATAGGTGGGGAGAAATCCAACCGTTATCCCCTCACTCAGCCCGCACGACGCAGTACTATCGCACGGAGCTGCGGTACTACCGCGGTTGGCTGCGGTACTAACGCTGCAGGTTGCGGTACTACCG